ACATACATATACATTGTATACAATATGGAATTAGTAAAACGTGTTAAATATACTTTGTAAACCTCGATTCTTAAGCTATAAGAGCGCTCTTTTTTTAATTTCATTGAAGCTATCACACCTATATAATAGAAATTTCCAAAGAAAAGGCTCAAGATTAACTCTTGGCGTTTGGCGCTAAATTTTGAATAGTGACCCACCTTTCATAATTGTTTCCATAATATATTCAAGTAGATTTAGAGGCCCTGATAGCGTAATATTAAGTGCTTTTGAATTTCCTGCTGGCGACTTGAGTTCAATCCCCCTTGTGTGCAAATCTTTTTTTTTTTTTTTTTTTTTTTTTTACATTTTTAGCTCGATTTTACGTTTTCTTTCCAGAATTTGACGGAAGACCTCTCGTTGCTCGCAACGAGTTTCATATCTAGTTCATATTATATTTACCTGTTGCCGTTTAGTATGTAGAGTTGTCGTTTGTATCTATTTCAGTGTATGACTCTTCACTAAAAATGAGTTCTATTACGAAAAACTTTAAATTGAGGTTCTTTATAATCTAGTTTTACTGCAAACGAAATGTAATATTCAAAATAATATTACTTTATTGTTAAATTTACTTACATTTCAAATTATGAAAATTAGATCAATCCAGGAGAAAATGACAAATAACTATTTGTGGCGGATGTTTATGCATGTTTATGCATGTTTTCTGTTGAATATCATCGGAGAAAATCGGTCTATATAATCAACACAAATTACTGCACATTTTAAATGCGTGATGACCATGGGAGATTGAACGTAGTTCAACTCCCAACAAAGATATTCATATCGCATTGAAAAAAAATATGTTTTCTTATAAGTTTGATAGAATGATTATTTCAATAAACATATTAGAGGAATATAATATGCTATATTTCCTGGGTTAGAAACACTTGCAGTATATTTCCTTTTCTTTATACTTAACATAAATTACTGAACATGATGAACAAGTTTATTACATAATAAAACATATTCAAATCAACTTTTACTTCAAGGTGTCAAGTGCATGGCGAAGGAAAAATTGTGTCTTGTATAATGAAAACTGAATACAAAAAAAAATCTATTCATTCAAATATATCTTATGACTCTGCTCCTTAATTATTCATATATAACAGTTACTATAAATTAAATCGGATCATTGCTTTTGTAAAAAAAAAATTGATGTATTGCATTGTCAATTATCAATGGTTATTTCCATCTTTTTGTCAATAAGATAATGTATATTTCGATGAGTTTTAAATAAAGGATTTCACAGAGTGGTCTGAAATATTTGTTTTATGTTTTGATATTTCTTATGTAAAATACTTTAATGGTAATCTTATAACAAAGCTGAATGATAAAATGTATGACTTAAACTTTTCAATCATCAACTTCCTCTACTTATGCAGCAATCTCTCATTACTACCTGCTGCCCTGCATACGGGGTTTATATCTCTAAGTTGATTCGATACGCAAGAGCTTGATCTACGCATGAAAAAATTCTGAAACGAGATAAATTATTGACAAACAAGTTGAAGAAGCAAGAATATCAGCTGTTTCTTTCAAAGTCGCCATTTTGTAAATTCTATGACTGATACAAAGACCTTGTCCGCATTTGAAGTAAATGCTGACAGGCGTTTACATAGTAATTTTAAGCCATAATTTACACAATGAATTGTCAATTACTATCCGTTATTGTCCCCCCTTTCGCGAAAGTGAGGGGACATTAAATCTCATTCGTCTGTCCGACCGTCCGTCACAAAAACTTTAACCTTGCCCATAACTTTTGATTCAGTGAAGCTATGACTTTCATATTTCATATGTGCATTCCTTGTGACAAGACCTGTCTTTGGGTACCACCAAATTTGACCTTTTGACCTTACCTTCAAGTTTGACCCACTTTTACACAAAAATTCCAAACTTTTACTTTGGCTATAACTTTTGAATAGGAAGTACTAGGACTTTCATATTTCACATATATATTCTTTGTAGCAAGACCTTTTATTGGATACCAACAACTTTGACCTTTTGACCTTGACCTTGGAGATTTCCGTACTTATGAAAAAACTTTAAACTTGACCATAACTTTTGATTGGTAAAGGTTAGGGCTTTCATACTTCATGTATATAATTCTTGTGAGAAGACCTTTTATTGAATACCAATAACTTTGCCCCTTGGACCTTGACCTTGGAGTTTGACCTACTTTTCAAAAACTTTGACCTTGGCCACAACTTTTGAACAGTAGATACCAGGATTTTCATATTCCATATATGTATTCTTCGTGGCAAGACCTTTCATTTGATTCCAACAACTTTGACCTTTTAACCTTGATCTTGGAGATTTTTTGTACTTATGAGAAAACTTTAAACTTGACCATAACTTTTGAATTGTAAGGGCTAGGGCTTTCATACTTCACATATGTAATCCTTTCGAGAAGATTTTTCATAGGATATCAAGAACATTAACCCATTGACCTTAACCTTGGTGTTTAGTGCTATTTATAAAAAGATGACTTATGAAAGGGCGTTCATATTAAACAAAAAATGTCATTTAAATGACATCTCACCCCCCAAAAAGACACCGAAAGCGGGGGACAACAATTCTTTGAATTTGCTTGTTTACCTAACTGTAAAAGTGGTTATTGTCCCCCGCTTTCGCGAAAGCGAGGGGACATTAAATCTCATTCGTGTGTCCGTCTTTCCGTCTGTCCGTCTGTCAGTCTGTCCGTCACAAAAACTTTAACCTTGCTCATAACTTTTGATTTAGTGGAGCTATGACTTTCATATTTCACATGTGTATTCCTTGTGACAAGACCTGTCTTTGGGTACCACCAAATTTGACCTTTTGACCTTGACCTTTGAGTTTGACCCACTTTTACACAAAAATTCCAAACTTTTACTTTGGCCATAACTTTTGAATAGTAGGTACTAGGACTTTCATATTTCACATACGTATTTCTTGTGGCAAGACATTTCTTTGGATACCAACAACCTTGACCTTGGAGATTAACTTACTAATGAAAAAACTTAAACCTTGACTATAACTTTTGAACGGTGAGGACTAAGGCTTTCGTACTTCACATATGTAATCCTTGTGAGAAGACCTTTCCTTAGATACCAATAACTTTTCCCTTTGACCTTGACCGTCGAGTTTTAGCTACTTTTTAAAAATTCTAACTTTGGTCACAACTTTTAAACAGTAGATACTAGGACTTTTATATTTCACATATGTATTCCTTGTGGCAAGACATTTCATTGGACACCAACAACCTTGACCTTGACCTTGGAGATTTACGTACTTATGAAAAAACTTTAACCTTGACCATAACTTTTGAAAAATAAGGGCTAGGGCTTTCAAACTACACATATATAATCCTTGTTAGAAAACCTTTCATTGGATATCAACAACTTTGACCCTTTTATCTTGACATTGGAGTTGACCTACTTAAAAAAAAAACTCTTCACTTTGCCCATAACTTTTTAACTGTCAGCATTAGGGATTAATCCTTCAAAAAAAATCAACTTCAATGTTACCTTTTAAATAAATGACATAAGATAGGATGTTCATATAACACGCAACATGTCATAAAAAATAACATCTCACCCACAAAGACACCGAAAGCAGGGGACCACAATTCTTTGAATTTGCTTGTTTACACTGGTTGTTAAGTATGCGTTTGTGACTGTCAAACCTTACGCATGAGTATAATATACGCGCTCGCTCGAGTTACGGAGAAAAATTTACGCGGCCATCAATATCGTAACTACATGTAACATCGGTTTGTTCCCCTTTGAAATGATAAAAAAAAATTAAAAATAATTATAAACAAACTTTTCAAAATACTGTTTACATTGTTTGGTAAATATATAACGTCGATGTGTACAGTCAAATGCAGTGAATTGTGAACAACTGGCCATGGTGTGCGCTTTATTGTAATTATTAACGCAAGCTCATATTGTAATTATTAACGCAAGCTCAAACTTCAAAGTGAAATCTACTTACCTGTATCTGCTTCTCGAGTTTTGGCAGTTAATTTGATAGGTTTGATTATAGTGACTGTGAGTTTATTTAACATTTTCGACTAATCAATTGAAATTAAGAAAGTTTTAAACGAATATACAAAGGAAATAAAAATGAGTATCGACGTTATATTGCGTGACGTTATTAGCTATGGCATGTCAAACGTTGCAATATTCGATAATCTTGTGATGTATATTCAAAATCTTGTGATGTATGTTCGAAATCTTGTGATGTATATTCAAAATCTTGTGATGTATATTCAAAATCTTGTGATGTATGTTCGAAATCTTGTGATGTATATTCAAAATCTTGTGATGTATGTTCAAAATCTTGTGATGTATATTCAATATCTTGTGATGTATATTCTAAAACTTGTGATGTATATTCTATAATCTTGTGATGTATATTCGAAATCTTGTGATGTATATTCGATAATCTTGTGATGTATATTCAATATCTTGTGATGTATGTTCAAAATCTTGTGATGTATATTCAATATCTTGTGATGTATATTCGAAATCTTGTGATGTATATTCTCTAATCTTGTGATGTATGTTCAAAATCTTGTGATGTATATTCAATATCTTGTGATGTATATTCTAAAACTTGTGATGTATATTCTATAATCTTGTGATGTATGTTCGAAATCTTGTGATGTATATTCTATAATCTTGTGATGTATATTCAATATCTTGTGATGTATATTCGAAATCTTGTGATGTATATTCTATAATCTTGTGATGTATATTCAATATCTTGTGATGTATATTCGAAATCTTGTGATGTATGTTCGATAATCTTGTGATGTATATTCGAAATCTTGTGATGTATGTTCAATAATCTTGTGATGTATATTCGAAATCTTGTGATGTGTGTTCTACAATTCAGTGATGCGTGCAATAAAATTGCATGACGCAACAGAAAAGTAAGGACAATTTTCATTGGTTAGAAATAACAAAAGTAGCTGAAGCGTCGGGAAAACCATGCAGGTGAGAAAAAACACATCAGTTTGTTTATTGCAGCACTAATTACGAGATGCACGAGTGTTGTTCCTGATGACATGATGGAGATATTTCGGCCTGCTAGGGAAAAAACTCAGTAAACGTAGATATATTGACAAAATTTGTAGGTACTTGTAACGATATGTCACGATGCTGCATTGTCAGATACAGTATTTATACATGCATGCTAAAAAGTAAATCTCGTAGTAATCAATATAGCAGAAGAATAATGAAGAGTACATACTACAAAAACTGTGCAATTTGTAGCAAGATTAATTTTTGTTTAACAGCTGTTTTTATTACATTTTATTTCGTATTATTACTACCAAATACTGCTACCGTTTGTTAATGTTATGCACATGGTTATCTTGTACTTGCAAGTAAATGTAACATTTAAAAAATAAATAATGAAAAAAATAAGTCATTTAGGCTATTTGATAATAACATGCTAAATGAACATGTTTTGCTTTTTAATTCTCCTTCACTCAGTCTTTGTATAATGTATATTTTTAGACGAGCTGATCGCCAACCAGGAGATCAGAATGATAGCATCTGCTCCTGCCACTTTAAGGATGGTAAGAAGGAGGGGGACCCTGCATATTTTGCATGGAATGAAGGAAAGGCCATGGATTTCTCTGATCCTAAATGTACAAAAAGGTGAAATTATTTTTCAAAATATGACCGACATATCTTGTTTTTTGATGGTGGGTGGGTGGAGTTTAATTGAGAATATTTTACTAAAAATCTTTAAAAGGGTACATGTATAAACAGAGTAGCTTACAACTGAATAAAAAAATAATTCAAGTTTAATTATTTTACAAAGGAGGAAAAAACTCAAAAGTGAGGAGTCCCTGTCATCTTCACAGATGGACCAGTTGCAGATTCCACAAGCACCAAAATGTCAATATCAAGAAAAAGTAAAGCTCATTTAAAACACCAATGATGACAAATGACCAACACTGAAACATTTTCAATAATTTTTAATAATATATAAAGTTCTTTTAACTGTACATGATTTACAATATATTTTCAGTTGATATCAGAGCACAACTACTCAGCATCCTGCACATTTAACTGTACTCAAGAAATGCAGCGCCTCTCAACAGAAATACAACTGGAAAAGGAATTGCTTGCCCTAAAAATAGAGTCTATATAGTAAAAGGAAGCCAATATCAATCCACGATATTAAATACAACGAAGTGAAGGTACATTTAAAGGAATTCCAATTGTGATTTCCTATTTCCTAACAATTTCAGTTACTGTAATAAAAACTTGTTGCCATTGAGGGATGAACATCTTAGATTGACTGTTATGTTAACATATTTTGTTATTATTTGGGAGTGTTAGGTCTCTGATCAGCAGGGGCATTTTCTCTATATAAGAAGAAAATGGAGACTCCCTACCCACCCGATGTATTTTGTCGGACAGTTTTCTGTACATTGCAGGTAAATTTTTTATTTATTAACTTTCCAGCCTCTTATTGTATAGTACATTTTGGGGTTTGAAGTCAGTTTTTGCTTTTCTTTAATTTTTAAAAAAAATTATTTAAATTCTCCTTTTCTAAGAATAAAATTCAAAAAGTAGCTTCTGATTGTAATGTATAAGACTACAGACATTGAACTTTGATTTGTTATCAAAAGGATTGATTTAAACTTGTCTAAATTAATTGTAAACAAAAATAAAAGGGGACACCTGCTATTTCTTTAAGTGTTTTTCACTGGGGGGTGGGGAAACTTTTTTGTACATACTTAAGCAATAGGAGGGATTAGATAAGAATCAATTAGTATATCTGTTATCAGAGTCTTAAATAATATACTTTGCATAAGCATAAAAAAATTCTATATCAGTCTTTTTGAAACCTTTGAACTTTGCTTAATTAACTATGATTTATCCAATTTTGGAGCTTTTTACCTAATTCTGGGTAGAATCCACCCTTATGAAATTATTAACTCAATTTTGACTTAATATCACTTTATTAACATTAAAGCACAAAAACAATTCATTGTACAAATATTTTATTTATTACAGTCACCAATATATCCAAATATCATCACCGGCCCAGACGTCATTCACTCCTTTGAATTGTGCTGGTAGCAGTAAGGTGTCATCATTTGAGATGGTCACAGTATCCAATACACTGAAGTCACAGGACTCAAATTTCATACATGTTCACAGGTAGGTGTATAGTCTTTGAAATTACCACAATTGACTAATTCTGGGACAGGTAAGTATGTAAGTATAGGAATGAGAGCACCAAATCACCGGATGCACACATGGCTTTGTTTGTTATGGAACATTAAACCGAATACTGAATGGGTAGGCGTTACGCCATTGGCTGAAATCAGGTATTTAATTGTTTTCATTTTAAAGTAAAATTAATGACCTTTGAAATAAATGATAGGATGAGGGAATATTACAGAAACTATAGAAATGCCAGGGAAGATTTTAGGAGTGGGGGTTGATTTTTTATGCTGCGTGTTATTTACTGCGAATCTCTATAAGTTGAAAATAACTGCAATTTTGACCTATAAACGCCATGGGACCATATATTTTTTTCAGTATTTTTTGTTAGGGCTTAGAACAAAGTTTGAAATGATGCTAAAGATTTTTCTGAAATTGTCATAGTAAAGTACTGAGAAGGCCTAAGGTTTGTATGGAGTTCTATGGGAAAATAATTAGTGGTCTTTTCCCTATACAAGATGCTGTCTGATGGCGTAGTGTAGAATGTAGCGTAGAATGTTTTCCAAGTCAGCTTAAATGCAAAGGTTTGTTTTAAAATTTATCATAATGACTTGCAAAAATTTAATGCAGTTAAATTTATTGTATTCTTGAAAAATTGACTGTAACACAATTTTTTTACACAATTACAAATAATCAAATTAATTTTTTTCCAACTTTTTTTCAGGGTCTCTGCCAAAATCTTTTGAGGATTTTTCCTCTGCTAGAGCATCCATGGATGCAATTGAAACAACCCAGGACATCCCAACACATATGGATAATCAGGCCATGGCCTACAGTATGTACAAAAGTTGCCATACTTTTAAAGCAGTAACTTGCGTGCCTCCAAATGGTGCACTTACATTTTGCTCCATGCTGTACCCAGGTTCTACTTCTGATGTAGCTATTGTACGTCACAGCCAAGTTTTACGAAAGTTCAAAGCTGGAGACCTTATTTTGGTGGTCAAAGGTTTCACCATTCATGACCAGTTGCCCCAGGGTGTCTGCTTAATTATAAAAGCTCTTTTATCGTCACGAGGCCAGTTTACCATACAAGAAGCAGCACTGTGTTACAAGATTGCTAAAGCACTTATTCATGTGGAAAGAGCCAACGAGAGGATAAAGAATTACGAGATTCTCCGTTACATACCATCTACTTAAAGACCATTCTCAACAAAAATATTTCAACTCTGTTCTTGTCTTGTAAACTTGCAAGCTCCACTTTTGAAAGAAATTACTTAAAGATACATGTACTTATTATAAATTTGCATTGGCGTGTGACAGTATACACTAAACAGTGAAGATATTCATACCAAAGTGCAAGGGATAAGCAAATTTTGATTTGTTATCAATGTCAATGGTTATATTTGTTAATTTTGTAGTATGTTGTAATACATGTACTTCAGAAAATGAAAATCCCTTTTGTTAGCATGGATTTATTACAAGAATGTTTGGCAATTCCATTCTTCATTTGACAATATAATTTGGAAGAGGGTTTACTTATAATTTTAAATCTCTAGTTTAAAGTATATTTACCTTTAAAGCACAACTCAACAAATTCATGTTTTCAACAATTTATCTATTAAGAAAGACAAAAATGTTACATTTTCACTTTGAGAATAACATCTTTAATTCATTAATAAAATGATTCTAAATTTTGATATTCTTTTTTTATGTAGTACATAGATTTTATTAATCATCACTGCTATTTAAAATAGTCTTATAAGCCAGAAGTTTTAAGATGGATTGTGACATATCATGTCATACATTTATGAGACTTAGGAACATTCAACACATTTAACATGATTACCCATTTTCCATTGTTAGAAAATTCTAGAGGTACAAAATTAAGTGTCAAGAAGTTCAAACCAGAACTCAGTTTTCCATCAGTGCTGAAATGAAAATGTTAATGTAGAAATCTATAAGCTTTGGAACATTTGCTGTCCATTCAATGTCTTTTACTATTCTAATCACAATGCAGTCTACTCTTGTCCACACAATTAAGTCGCAGAATGTTTTGTTACATATGTGTAGCTGGCCTTGAATTTGATGATAGTATGGGTGACTGGTTTTCAGGCACAGGGTATCTTGTTTAAGATCTAAAAAAAAATCAAAAAACACTTAAGTTGTGTTGTACCAGTACATATCCCCTCCTTTTTCAATATCTTCATACCATATTGAACAGCTGCACTTGTAAATTAATACATGTTTTGAAATCATTTACTCACCAAGATTTTTAATTTCAAAGTACTGGACAATACAGATTTTTAATGTTATTTACCTATGAAAAATCCTTCAAATTTTGTGCCCCATCTGCTACTGTTGAAGACGATGCTGTATATGGACACTTCACCTCTACAATATCAGGAATGGCGTCTTTGGCTTCTGGAGTTTGATAAAATACACTGCATGTTGGTGGTCGAACAACTAAGCCATCAGGTGAAGCTCCCAACACACCGGATTCATGCAACCATATCCTTTTCAGAAAAAATTATAATACTACTGAATGCAAACAAACCATAATACAATTGATTTTGTAATGCAAACAAAGTCTAAGTAGAGCTTTTATAATCCTTCCACTTCAAAAAGCAAATTTTCTGGAATATGTTGGTAACTGAATATTTATGCCCCGCCATGAATATGGCCGGGGCATATAGTATTTGTCATGTCCGTCTTCCGTCCTTCTGTCCTTCCATCCCACTTTGTGTTTAGCTCTGTTCAAAGCTAAGTTTCAAAGAAACTATCCAAGATATTTTTATCAAACTTCATATGCTGATAGATATTGATGAGAGCTATGCAACTGCAACAACATTTTTTGACCTTGACCTTTCCTTTGACCTTGACCTGACTTTTCTTAAATAGTGTTTAGCTCAGTTTTAAACATACCATTCAAGATGGTGTTATCAAACTTTACATGTTGATACAAACTTGCATAGATGATGCATCTAGAGATGCACACTACCGGACTTGCTTCGGATGCTGGATCTGACCTACATTTTCCAGATGAGTGACCAAATTAAAGTTTTTGGAGCAGGTCTATTCTTAAGGAACTATAAGCCCTACTTAGACCAAACTTGCTTGGATGATGCATGTAAGGATGGACACTACCAGACTTGCTTCGGATGCTGGATCTGACCTATATTTTCCAGATGAGTGACCAGGTTGAAGTTTTTGGAGCAGATTTATTCCTAAGGAACTATCAGCCCTACTTAGACCAAACTTGCATGGATGATGCATCTAGGGATGGACACTACCAGACTTGCTTCGGATGTTGGATCTGACTTACATTTTCATTCCCAAGTAACAATAAGCCCTACCTAAACCAAACTTGCATGGATGATGCAGCTAGGGATGGACACTACCAGACTTGCTTTGGATGCTGGATCTGACCTTTATTTTCATTCCCAAGTAACTATAAACCCTACCTGAACCAAACTTGCATGGATGATGCATCTAGGGATGGACACTACCAGACTTGCTTTGGATGCTGGACCTACATTTTTATTCCCATCTAACTATAAGCCCTGTCTGAACCAAACTGATCAAATTTTATACATGTACAAATTTCATGTTGCTTTACTAATATATCCTCGGCGGGGCATTCATGTCCTATGGACATATTTCTAGTTTTTTTTTTACAATTAGACTTCAGTAATTGATTTCTGTTTGTCACCAGGATAAGTCCTGTTATTTGTTTTGACACATTGAATGTTAACATGTCAGAGGTTGAATGAATGTTATTTTGTGCTGTATACCTGACTGCTCTACAGCTGCATCAAAGTCCTTTTCATACTTTCTCAAAGCATCATCTTCATGAGTGATACCCCATGCAACAGCCTTGATGGACTCCAGATTGTAAGCCGACATCAGCTGTTTCTTCAGTGACAATGTCAATCTGGAGAAGAAAATATGATTTTTGGTTATTAATCTTATATTTCCTGCATCTTTATGTACAAATATCTAGTCATTACAGTCGAACCTCATTATCTCAAACTCAATGAGACCAAGAAAAATGTTGGAAATATCCGTGGATTCAAGAATAATACATAAAGAGTTATCAAGAATAAAATGTCCCAGTCTTTTATAAATGGTTTGGACTTCAAAATTACTTTGACATATCCATGAAATATGAGATAATGGGTTTGAGATAACAAAGTTTGACTGTAATTTTAAAAGTCTTTTTCGCAAAAATTTAATCACACGTCTTACCGCCTTTGCTTAGAACTGAGAACTGCACCAAAGTTGGAAGCTGATATGCTTTATTTCCTTACAATCGACCACATTGGGTTGTTTCGTTGCCAATGCAGCTCTTTTAATGGATTCAGGGATAATGCATGCTGTAACCATACCATAGGGGTATCAGAATGAACATACTCTGGTGATGTTAACAGGTCTTCAATGAGAGGTACAGGTGGACCAGGTTCACATGGCTCTGGTTCAAGAATCCAATTCAATGCTGAAAAATTTCATTACTTGTGTCATTCTCAAAAATATCATCCATAATATCCATATCACATATACCAAGTATTTATATAAGAGTCCATACATTTCATTTTAGTGAACACTGTCATGGGTTTTTGTAATGTATGCATTACATATCAAATTTACAACTCACTTGCATATATTTGTTCAGAATTGTTCCTGTATATAATTTTGCACGTGGCATTCTTAGTGTGAAAATGCCATGTAAAAATTGGTGCAAATGTACAATTAATATTTACTTAATTATTAACAAGGTTTCATAATGACAGAGTATTTAAATAATAGAAGAATGATCTGATAATTCGCAAGAATATGAAACAAAATATTTTTTTTAATGAAATTGAATAATTTATTTTTCCTTTCAAAAATGTTTGCTCATGTACAAAAATGCTATCATATTTATAATATTGTCTTTCCAATTATTCAAAGGTTGTTATTAATATTTATTACACAGTATGTTCAAAAATTGGGCAATATACATAGCCAACTATATTATACTCCTCATCTTTGTACATTTGTTCACAATTAAAATTAACAATCGGTCAGTAACAAATTAACAGTTTCATAATACTCGTAATATAAAAATCAAATCAAACTTAAATAACAACAATAGTAACACCAAAATCATAACTTCCTTCTTATATTTTACCAATAAACCTTTCAAGGTGCAAAAAACACTGGTCACTTTCATCAAAGGGTCAGTTTAAAGCACTTCAAATATGAAGCAAATTTTTTAACAACTGATTTATTTATATTTAATGATTGATCATTTTAAAAAAAAAAAAAAAAAAAAAAAAAAAACAAGAGGCCCATGGGCCACATCGCTCACCTGAGCACTGTGGCTAGGAAAAAGAAAAAAATTGTTTTTTTATTGAAAAGTTTAAATCCAAAAGTAGTCCCTTGACCAATCATGGCTTTGCTTTTCTTGAGAAGGTTATTTTTAAAGAATTTTCCTATATATTTCTATATAAAATTTGATCATCCTTTGTGGCCCCGTCCTACCCCCGGGGGACATGATTTGAACAAACTTGAATCTACACTACCTAAGGATGCTTCCATATAAATATGATCAATCAGGGTTTTGCTGTTCTTGAGAAGAAGATTTTTAAAAATTTTTCCTTTATATTTCTATGTAAAACTTTGATCTTCCATTGTGGCCCCGCCCTACCCCGGGGGTTATGATTTGAACAAACTTGAATCAACACTACCTGAGGATGCTTCCATATAAATAGGATCAATTATGGCTTTGTCATTCTTGAGAAGAAGATTTTTAAAGAATTTTCTTATATATTTTTATGTTAAACTTTGGTCAGCCATTGTGGCTCCGCCCTACCCCCGGGGGTCATGATTTGAACAAATTTAAATCTACACTACCTGAGGATGTTTCTCCATAAGTTTCATTTTTCCTGGCACAGTGGTTCTTGAGAACAAGATTTTTAAAACATACCATCAAATTTTCATTAATTCCCAATTATCTCCCCTTGAATGAGGGTGTGGCCCTATATTTGAACAAACTTGAATCCCCTTCACCCAAGGATGCTTTGTGGCAAGTTTGGTTGAAATTAGTCCATGGGTTCTAGAGAAGCCGAAATACACATGGGCAAACAGCCAACACACCACCGAGGAAGTTACATCGATCATGCGTACCTAAAAAAAAAAGAGTTCCCTTTGATTCAGTGGCACAATTCTCCTGATATGATATTCCTAGTGCATGAGTCCAAAATTAAAACTGTAGACCTACGTAAAGTTCCTGAAAATGAAAAAAGAAAAGAAATATTATTGTCTCTATATACATCATACATAGAACTACATTTGTTCATTTTAATTAGCTATCTCCTTGCATATTACCTCTAAGGGTAATTTTATGCTATTTACCATGTACACTGATTGCCATAAAACTAAAGAAAAAATACCAGCCTTACAAAGTCACTTAACCATGACCTTTGACATACCTTACTAAGAATACCCTGGACAATTTGGTTTAACTTAAGACTTCTGAATTTTTAAATGCAGGTTTTGATAAATTAACCATTTAATATACTTATGAGCTCATAAAACTGTTCTTTAAAACTGTGTGATAAAGAGTGTAAAAACTTTGAAACATGTTTGGAAAGTATTATCACACATGTGATATGGGATAAATTATCACCACCGAAAGATCAATTGAAGAAAATCACTGCAGATATGCGACAATAATTCTTATCATTGTTTATTGTATGTCAAGTCTAGAATATGATATATCATTACAAATATTATGATTTTTAGCTGGGCACATTGCTCGTAGAGCAATGCTCAGCTATTGCGACGGTGAGCAACAGAAAATGCTGCTTCTTCACCGCCAAATTGAGTTTACGAGTAAAAGTATGGTACGTGCACCAGTCGCTGTTGAGAAAACAAAATCCATTCAACACCTTAAGAAATAGTTAATTGAATATTTTTATCATAATATTAAATTGTTTAATATTTTTTCCTGGCTCCTTTGACTAATATTTTACAAAGTAATTCAAAGGGTGCAAAAGGTTTTCACCAGGTATCCCTGTCTGCATCATATTCTATAAACAATATAATTAAAATTAGATGTTAGATCCGCTCGCATACTCGCCACACTAACATCTAACAAGTCATCCCATTGAGGGTCACGTAAGAGGTTAAATTCGGAACGCCTCAAGATTTATTCGCTTCAACAATATATGATGATTTTGCCAGCTGCGATTTGATTAATTGATAGAATTTGACCTCTGACGTGACCCTCAACAGGATGTTGTTAGATGTTAGTGTAGCGAGTATGCAAGCGGATCTAACATCTAATTTGAATTAGATTGATTCTATAAATAAAGGTTGTACTATCAGGCTAACACAAATGCAGGGAACATCATTAATGACTTGATGCAAATCTCCCCGCTGAGAACACATCAGTGCAGAGACGTTTGACCTTAATCTTGCTGCATTGGTGTTTATTTACTTCTGTTTGTATATAAAACCGGATTACCCCGAAACGATACGTGATAAATATTTTTCGCTGTTAATTTCTAGCTATATTTTAATTTATTTTTAAAACTATTTAATATTATACATGCCATTGAGATATTTTTGTGTGTATTACATATTCTCTAAACGTCTGAACGTGATTTTAAACTGTCACCACAGTCCTTGTTCATTATCCTGTAAATGAGCCCGGCTCAATACATTTACTATAAAAATAATTGGACAAATTTGTGAATGACAATATTCAATGATGCATAGCAATTAATCTTTTCCTGACATTCATCTTCTCCTAAAAATTTGTCGTGTTATTTATTTATTTATTGCAAAGTCGTCCCTGGACTAGTGCTACGGTCAATGCAGCTGCAATGGGCCATGCAATTTCGAACCCTGCGTGGTGAGAGTTTGTCTCGAGACACAGTTAGATTATTCTAACTAGCACCAATATAGAATAAATCATACCGATTAATCAACATCACTACAATATGAGGACGTAAAAATAGGATAAAACATCCTTTAGTCCAGCAATAAGCCACTCAATATTGTTTTTGATGTACCTTCAAATAAATCAAATTAATGTTCTTGATTCTCAATTTTCACGTTATGACTGACTTAGTGCTTCTTGATACCAAAACAATTTTTCTATTACCTATAATTTTGACTTTAGGTTGAATTCGCCAATTTCATGCTTGCGAAGTTGTGTCAATGTGTGCATTACGACCGCTCCGGCTACTTTCGTTATTTCTAACCAATGAAAATTGTCCTTACTTTTCTGTTGCGTCATGCAATTTTATTGCACGCATCACTGAATTGTAGAACACACATCACAAGATTTCGAATATACATCACAAGATTATCGAACATACATCACAAGATTTCAAATATACATCACAAGATTTCGAACATACATCACAAGATTATAGAATATACATCACAAGATTTCGAATATACATCACAAGATATTGAATATACATCACAAGATTTCGAATATACATCACAAGATTTCGAACATACATCACAAGATTATAGAATATACATCACAAGATTTCGAATATACATCACAAGATATTGAATATACATCACAAGATTTTGAACATACATCACAAGATATTGAATATACATCACAAGATTATAGAATATACATCACAAGATTTCGAATATACATCACAAGATTATAGAATATACATCACAAGTTTTAGAATATACATCACAAGATATATTGAATATACATCACAAGATTTTGAACATACATCACAAGATTTTGAATATACATCACAAGATTTCGAACATACATCACAAGATTTTGAATATACATCACAAGATTTTGAATATACATCACAAGATTTCGAACATACATCACAAGATTTTGAATATACATCACAAGATTATCAAATATTGCAACGTTTGACATGCCATAATTAGCTTTAAAATATTTAATATGAAGATGCATTTTTTACCGCACAAGTAACATGATAATCATAACAGTTTGTGATATGTTTGTCTATTCACGTGCGTTCAATACCACGATAAATATACGAATGGTTCAACCCGTCTAACAGTATAAGTAATAATCTAGAAATATTTCAGAAGATTGAAATTTTGTGACCATACGCGCGGGGGTATTTTACGCGGTCTTTAGCTTACCGCGTAAGTAGTTTAAATTTCCCCCACGCGTTAATAACCACTTTTACACTACATGACAAAAGCACACCTCGGATGTGACCAGACGCAGGGATTATGTATGTGATTACTTACTCCTCCTTTGCACCGGATCCCACCTCTGATGTTTTAGAGGTCAGTGTTTGCTCTGTAAACATACTGCTAGTGTTTCTTATACAAGAATTATAGCATATATTCCTTTATAATTAGTATGTTGAATGAAATAATTATTCTTTAGAACTTAGTGAGACAGAATTGTTTTGTTCCATTGGATATGAAAATCTTTTTTTAAACATTTTACATGTACTAGTTGGTGTAAAATAATGTAGTTGTAGTTTCTGTGGGATTGATGAATTTAGAGTTATGCATAAAATTAACAGAATACAGTCAAGATATATGATAGTGAGAGTCAACAAAGCTCTAATTTAAATGAAAATCAACCTAATTTTTCCGTAGGCATTTGTAAATATATCTAAAGAACAAATGTTGTTTAATACGTATACACCATCTGCACAGAAATAACTGTTTCTCAGCTATTACTAATATTTGCTTTCTGTAAAGTCGATTAAAATCCTGTGTCATCCAGAAATCAGACTGGTACTAGCAATTAACCTGAGAGGTTCTGTTTTAGGCAGCTCAACATTTTCTACTTGTTAGTAATATTTTAGACCATAGTCCACCTATTCTGAGCCAGTGTGCTTTTTTAATTATAATAAGTTGTGAGTTTATTTCACATTTTTATTCTGAAAAGACCACAGAATTTTGTTAAATATATTTTGTATTAAGTTAGTTGTAAATTAAGAACACTTTTATTAAAATTGTCTTGCAATATTGGTAATCGCCAGCCACCCTGTGACATTTTGTAATGTTATATGGAATCATTTTATGTTCCTTAGTTCTCCTGTCAGACAACTGAGCTTGATTTTTGATTTTTGTTGAAGCGGGCAAAAAAAAAACAGCATTGTTAAAGTGAAAAAATGTCATTTATTGAAGCAAATGACGAAAAGTAGTAAAAAAATTTATAAAACAAGGACGGGGGTCAGGAAAAACGGTTTTAAAAATAAAATTTTACATATCTTAATCACAATATTGCACAAGCTGACCCCTAGCACCATAATTTCATTATAAATGATATACATGGAAAAAAAAGAGAGATCAACTGGCAGACTAATTAAGAATTCAAAACATGGGAAAAAAACATTGCCATGTATAGTATTCAGACATATGTATTCATTTGACCCCCTACTAAACATAAAAAATTCTAAACATACATGAAAATGTGCTACATTGCTGCCTGCAAAAAAGGTGGATTCCTTATAAGTGCAAGTTTCTCTGCGTATAGTAAAGTACATTTTAAAAGATTTATCATTTAATTCAATCTAATTTTATCTTAATAATTTAAGACACACAAGAATTTAAAAAGTTATCCGGTGAACATTTCTTTTATTACTAAAAACCAATGGTCTTACTTTCTTAATTGCACTGCAAGTGTCAAGTACATATCAAATTCCATGCAATCTCCTCAAAATACACATTTCAACTTCAAAAATTAAATGAACGATAAAATATTACTAAAGAACCTTAGAGGACCATATAATTTTACGATTAAAACACAAATAAAGCTTACATAAAGTCAATACAAATGATGCATATCAAATTCCAAGCATGTCCTCAAAGTTCACTTTTCAAATTAAAAAATAAATAGACGATTAAATATTACTAGAGAACCTTGGATGAACAAATAATTTTACGAGTAAAATACACATAAATCTTACATAAATCAGTGCAAACATCTGTGAATAAACTATTGTTTAAATTAGATTAATGCAAACATTGAACACAGATTTCCGTTATATATGCCAATGCGACATTCACAATTCACAATTCAGGACATGAAAGAACGCAATACTGAATGACCTTGTCAGTTTTGTCAAAGACGTTACAAACTTCCTAATAGCAACGTTTTCATCTTCTGGACCCTTCAGCTACTTGTAAGTAAGACATATATGTGTTGAATTTAGTTTTACTTAAAAATTTTTACGTACATTGGAATGTTCTGCGTGTAAGAGTTATCGTGCTTGCTATATCGTTAGAAAGTTTTTGCCGTGTCCAAATAAGGAGAGGCAGATGCAAGCGATTCTTGGAAATGAAAACATTTAGTAAACGCCCAATGAAAATTGTGCGCGGTAAAAATCAGGACCCGGTTGTCCAGATAGCGTCACTTTTCATTTTCTTTTAGGACGCCGTGAAAAGTACATGTGTGTTGGATAGCATCAAATTATTTTAAGCCGCCTCCACCCCTCCACCTTTTCCTGTTTTTTAAGGTTGTCCTGTTGTCTATCTTCTTTTCTTGGTTTTTAATGTGTTTTTGTTTAGTCGTTTATGGCGGTTTCAGACCACAAGAACATTTGATATATTATGTAATCAATTATGCCATATATTGTGTAATCACAGTTTACATATTAATCATATTTATAATTCGGTTTCATTCTGTTGTAAATTTTTGATACAGATAATAAGTTGTTTATTGATAATTTTATGGATTTCAAGATCAATTATTACATAATTAATTACAAGTATGTTCTCTAATTAAAGTCGCGTTAGTGGCAAAGTGCAACATACCTAAATGTCTTGTTGTTTATAAGAATGGAGAGTGAAGGCGGTGTTTTTGAAATACTGCGATAGGGCAATAAATGTGAGTTGGAATCACAACAGTACACGAAAATGTTTACGAACGAGAAGTTTCATAAATGATTTATTCTGTCAAAATAAATTGGCATTGGCAATTGTACATAAAAACATTTAATGAAAGTGGTATGTAAATAAATCTTATCAATACATATTTAAATAAATGTTGAAAATAAGAACTGATGGTCTAGTAAACGGCAGTAATAAATGGTTTTCTTTAATTAAGGAAGCGGATTATAAAAAAGCGTAAACTGACCCAAACCAGATTATACTCGATAATATGGCCAAGAATTAGAGTCATTCCTTATAATTTAATTTTAAAATAATTTAACAACTTTTGATGTAAAATTGTGTTGCTTTTTACAAGTTCAAATTTACCGCGCAATAATACAACCTTAGTAACGGAAGTGATTTGAAGCGAGGGAGGTAATAACTGATACATAGATCTAGCAGCCATGATGTTTGTTTACATGAGGTAAGAACGAGTAATTGTTTATAGTTGAAGGTACATTTATTAAATCTGGAATTTTCCATGGATTCCGAGGACTGGAAATGAGGGGATTGCATGGATATGATGATTAAGCTGGTCGTCAAGGGTGTGTGTCCCCATACCAAACCAGATTATACAAAATGTTATGCGTTCCTTTTTGTAAATCAACCAATGAGAGGCGAGAATACAAATAAAATTAAATTATTGTTCATTACATTGAAAAATTCTCAAGTCCAGAAAAAAATGTATTTTTCTTAGTTTTCAAGTGCGAGAAATTTTTTTTTACATTTTATTTTTCATACTACTTTTAATAAATCTCATTGTTAAATTTACAAGAGACACTTTTCGGTCAATTGATATGAAATTATTAAGACTACAGAGTGTTACAGGTATATGTCTAAAAAAAACTTTCAACATTTTGCAGTCATCTGTTGTTCATGTCGAGAGCCATCAAGTACATGTATATTTAATCACCCCATACCTGTAAAATTCCCATTCATATTATTTAATGAAACATATGTAGATAAGGAACCGTATTCAAGATCAAAAGTCCATAAAACAATACAGAAAGAAACAGAGCATACACAGAATTCAAGAGCTGGGATCAGGTGCCATGGACTAGCCATGGTGATCTTAAATGAGATTGTTCAACTTGATATTTTTGTTTTATCGATTTGTTTGTCAATGATTTACCTTGTTTTAGAAATTGTTCATAAATAATGTAAACACATTTTTTTCTCATAATGTTCATTCTTTTTATTTAATGCAGAGAATTTATTTTTGCTTTCACAATTACAGACTGTACAATAAATTTGTTAACATTCAATACATGCTTTCAGTTATTCTCCCATGTAATTCATATAACTTAATATTATTTTTATCATTTATTCCCAGCTCTCTGATTGGCTCAAACTTGATCACATGATTTAGTATATAACAGCATAAAGACTTGAGTTACTATTTATAGAATCTGAAATGCATATCGACTTGAGGTTTCTTAAAATGGAGGTAATTTCCATGAAACTAAATAGTACTGTATTCAATCAAAGCTAATACAGTGTATGATTTGATGTTTCTAGAAAAAAAAAATATTTATTTCAACTTTTACTAACTTTTTTGCAATGTTCTGTATTTGATGAGACAAAAGAAGGCATTGGATTAGGATTACTTCATATTAATTAAAACATATTCGATATGTGTGTCAAATATTGATACAAAACTTAATCAAAAAAATGAAGTATTCTGAATAAGTAAATCGTCTAAATCACTCCATCAATATAAAGGAAACCCATTTACATTATACGGTGTAATTTATTTTGATCTCTAGTCTCTAATTGTTAAAGGGAGTTAACTTTTCCAATTATTTTCATAATTTGTTTTGTCAATCTATGTAAAAAATAATATAACAAATGTAGCCCTTTAATTCGGTCAATCCATAGATATATCGACTTCACAGAAAAGCATATCGACCTCGCACTTCGTGCTCGGTCGATATGCTTTTCTGTGAAGTCGATATATCTATGGATTGACCTCATCAAAGGGCTATATTTATATAGTATATAATTAATACAAGACCTCTTTGGTAAATACTTAATACAAGTTCGTTTCAAAAAGCAAAAAATATATGACATTCATGCATAATATGAATCTTTACCGTGAAAGCTTTATATACAAAGAAGTAAACAAAGTGGAGGGGTGGAGGAGGGTAAACATAAAAAAGTAAAGTGTACGTGTCATAATGTTTATTTTTATAAATAGTTATTTATAATTTCAATCATTAGTCTGGAATAAACGGAAGTTCTGTCTCCGACTACTCCAACTCGTCAGGACTATGAGTCCAGGGTCACTTGGCCAAGTCCAACTCGATCATGTTTAATATGTCTGTTATCTAATTCATGTTAGCTAGTAATATTGCCATCGTTGAGTCTCATCTAATAAATACGGAATATTTCATCATTTGTTTTATCACTGAAATTGCATATTGGTGAATCTTCGGGATTAAGGCAAACATATATTCTTTTTTACCCTATGGCCAAAAAGCGCCTCTATCTTATACGTCGTATCCAATAAATTCCCTCAATTGCAAGCCATTTGTTTTGCGAACAAAGGAAACAGGTCTTGAATTCTTAGTTACGATATCGTCCAAATCTACACTATCACATTAATCTACGGTATTTTGTGATTAAAAGCTTTTCTACATTAGTCAAAACTGATAGTTTTTAAAGATATTTTCTTTACTGGTAAAATGTAAAAGCCAGACCTTCACCCATTCAAAACTGAAGGCTATCATTTATTGTATGAACATAATTTGTAGTTTGTATTAATAGTATTTGAAATATTCAAAAAGTTTGCGTTTTTCTGGGTATCCCATTCTGTAGGAAAATTAGAGTAGATTTATAGACATGTAAATACAATTATGATTATTATAAATATAGTATAAAGGAATCCTCTTTGCATAATCTAGCACGAATACTATGTCTATGCACGATATTTATTTGTAATGAGTTGTCATTGTCCATTTGTTAATGCTTACAATGTAGGATGAATTCACCATGCATCGGATACCCTTGTACTTCAGCAAGTTCTAGCGATATCGCTACCGACGGAAAATTATCAAAATGAAGCTTAACATTTAGTTTGTGATTAAAATATCAATTTGGGACACAATTATATGCCCTTTATTGAGAAAATATCCTCAAAAAATCGAGTTTTTAGTGATAACTCAAAATTCACCATGGATCGGACATTGTTTACCATCAACGGACAGACGGTATTTTGACCAGAAAAATATCATACCTTTATCAAAGTGCTTTACAATGCTAGATATGGATATATTTTTATCTTTTATCTAAGAAATAACCCTCAACTAAAATTTAATTGACGATATCGTTGCACAAATTTAGAACGATTCAAGAGACCTCAGTCTGCCTTAGAAATGCTTTAAAATGCTTATAATGCGGTAATTCGCGCCCTTTTTCATGGTTTATCATACAATGGTTTGTAGAAATAAACTGAGTCAAATTCCAGACGTCATATATCGATAACTTGTATTTTGACTGAAAATATAGAGTCTCTATTTTCTTTTCCCGCAAAAAACAGCTATCAGCCGGGCTCTGTATGAAAATGGTAGTGCTTAATATTGCATCAAAAAGTGTCCGATGCATGGTTAATGTGTCCGATGTACGGAGAAATGAACATACTAGTGGACACCAGTTCTAAAAAGAATTATGCGAACATTGAAGTGAAATTTCTTTAAAATTTATGTAAAAATACCAATCTTTGACTTTATTTACCAAAGTCTGACTCGTTCTGTTGAATTTTAAGAACGATAACTCTAAGAATCGCAAATTTAAATCATAAATTTCTGGTTATTCCCCTTTGGTGATGTAAAATATGACGTAACTTCAAGGCCATTCTCGGGGTATTTTTATCACAACATGATAATAACAATCGGTATCATTAAAAAAATTAAATCTTCAGCTTCTAGACAGAAACAAATAAATACACGGAACTCTTAAGGTTTCGTCAAAGGTCAACAGGACTAAAAGATTATTTTTACAATAGCTCCAAAACTATGTGTGGTATAAAGTCAAAACGTTTAAAGTTTATAAATATATCATTGATTAATAGATAGAAAGTATCTTTTGATAACAAATATTTTTAAAAAGATATTTTTTGAGAAAAATTGTATCAGAAAATGTGCATATGTAAAGAAAAATGCACCTGCTTAATTCTGTCTTTTTTGTGAAAACCATCATTGAAGAAATTATAAATGTTTATCATTGAAGGGCAAGTTGGACGTGAATGGTCTCTGAAAGGCGGTTATTGAAAGCATGACATGTATAAAGACAAGAACCCTATAAAAACGCCATTTGCAATGTACTTTCACTTTCAAGTCTTAATATTTGGACAAAATAAACAGGGAAAACAACTTTCCAGAGGCTATCCAAGTCCAACTTGCCCTTCATTGATAAACATATTTTGTTTCTGCAATAATGGTTTTCACTAAGAGTGTGGAATTAATTAGGTGTATTTTTTGAAAATATATGCATTTTAAAGAAGAATTTTTCTCAATTAACATTTTTCCAAGTATTTTTTAAATCAAGTGATACTTTCTATCTGTTCATCAATGAAAAATTTATAAACTGCAAAAGTTTTAACTTTATATCCGACATAGTTTTGGGGCTATTTTAAAAATAAATTTTTGGACATGTTGACCTTTGACGAAACCTTAAGTTGAAAGAGAATTTATTGTCTAAAGTTGTCCGAAGCAAGGTATGTGTCCGATGCAAGGTGAATTCACCCTATCTCTAGTCTTGTTGTCATGACATCATCACATGAGAAGCTAGAGTACAGCTTTATCATAATTCTTTAATGCACATTTAATTGCTAGTTCTCAGTTATTAAAATTGACAATGTAGGTTCCAAAAATAGTGAAATAAAAATAAATGTCCCATATATGTTTTTTTATGTAATCAATAGTTTGGAAAACAAACTTTCTTATAGTGTTCAAATTCAAGTAATTATATTGCAATTCTATAAAAATCAAATCATTCATTTGCTTCGCTGACGTTTTAATTCTTTTGTTTCAATTCTTTTAAGGTAATAATGGCAGAAGCCACAGGAATTAAACATTCAGAGATGGTAGAGCTGAACGAATTTTTCAACAAAGTTAGCTCAAAAGTGAGGATTTTTTAGCCATTTGTTAAACAATTGATTTTTTTCTTATCTTTTCTAAAAATGACATAACTGATAAAAAATAATCTCTACCCCCTTTTATCATCCTTGCAACCATGAAATTAATAGTTCTCTATTCTTTAGTATTCGCACTGTATCTGCATCTTGCTGAAAAATGACCTTAAAACTCCATTAACAAATCCAAGAATTTACCAAGAAGATGGGAAAATGTAAAGTGGCCCTCAAAATGTAATTCAGCCAGGTGAATTTGTATGCCTTGGATTTTACAAAAATTATCTTCCATTTGGGCCTAAAGGTATTGTTGCCTATGACCTGAAAGAATTAGGAATAACATTTTGCCTATATTTTAACAATCCATATTTTGGTCATAACAAATTTACAATGTATTGGATGAACGAGGGAAGGAATGTAGATCAAGATCTCTTTCGAGCTCTTGCGATGGATAATAATATTTGGTATGCGCATGGCAACATGACCTGGCATCATATGAAATCCGACACGCACAATGTTAAGGCTTCTGGTTTTATAGGAGAAGGATACACTGCCACATTGCCAGTGGAAATAAAAAATACATGAATGCTGACTACAATAAAAAATTTCATTTCATAACTTTTCTTTATACCCGAGGATTTAAATATGAATGATAATTTTCTTCTAAATAATTCAATATTTTCTTATTATGACTTATATTATTTCGTTAAAATTTTGTTCATAAACGCAAATGTATACATTTATACCCTCCATACATGTAACATACTATGAATATATATGTATAAAACAGA